GGGGGGCAAAAATAATCTTGCACCAGGGCCCTTTGGTCCCTAGGTCCGCCACTGCTTAGTTACCTTGTCCTATAAGGCCTAAATGTTCTACATGTTGCTTATTCATACAACTCATTATATATGTATTATAAATATATACAGTATGATGTTTCTTTGAATATGTTTTATTGAACAAAACATAATAGGCTAATTAACATAATAGAGGCTTGACAATGTGATTCAGCAGGGATCAGCAGTTTGACCTTTTAACTCCTGAAATCCATTCATTTTTGCAGTGCCAGCTGCATAAGATAAATGAAGGTGTGGGTAAATGCATATTCTTAAGGTGGCCATACACTCTACAACCATCGCAAGACTTCAGTCTTGCGATGGTTGTAAAGGGATTAAAAAAACGTACGATCTGCCTATCTTGGACAGGCAGATCGCACTCTCGATCATCGCAAGCCCGCCCCCCTGAGGGGCGGGCTTCCGATGACCGCAATGCTGAACGGGCAGTGTGCGCGTGCGCACACCGGCCCGCTCGGCATTTATCTTCCGAGCACCGTTCTAACCAGCCGAGAATCGTACGATTCCCGGCTGGTTTTCGAACATGCTGGTTCGACAGAAGACGTGCGACCGTACAGTAGAAACGGTCGCACGTCTCCGTTCACACTGCTCGATTATCGTACGAAAAACCGATCGCATACGATTATCGTACGATAATCGTGCAGTGCATGGGCACCTTTAGAAACATTTTTTGCAGTGCAATAAGTGTGGAGTTAGATAACTGATCAGTGTGGGCCTCCATAGGGAATTTTTAGTAAAATCAACAGTATCCCTGTTCGCAATGGGGACATTTAAAGAGGGGCTAGGGGGGTCAGTGAATATTACATTGACCAATTTATATATGCTGAATTAGACCTGGATTTTCTATGAAAAAACGGGGAAATACAAATGTCAGTGAATGTGAAATGTGTAGCAAGCACATGATCATAGAGCTCTTTTCTTTATAAATATGCCCCTACAAATGTCTAATTTCTGTTATCTCAATGCACTAATGAGAATTGTTTCTTCTAGCTCTTTCTGAACAGACTGCCTCGTATACTGCACATGTCACAGCCAGCAGTACCTGACCCCGAGCCATGGAGTGGGGTGCTGCAGCGACGCAGCAGTTCAGTAGGATACATTGCAAAGGCCGAGGAATACTTCTGTGTAAAATCACGAAGTGAACTCATGTTTGAGAAGCAATCCGAGCGTCATGGTCTCACTAGTCGAGCTACACCAGCACGTAAGGGCATATATTTATGGTGTGCTCCATGCACTTTTTTAATGGGGTGACCACCAACTCCCAATTCTACAGAATGGTGGCCACCCTGTGTTTTCATCCAACCCTCAATGCCCCCTCTTTGTTGATTGACAGCTGCTGTGACCATTCAACAGCTGAGACAGGGGCTTCCTGTTACTGTAACTGCCCCTTTTGCTTGATAGCTTGACCTGTTTACAGTTAGAGGAAAAATAAAGGCTCTACCGGCAGGATCAGCAAGTTATAAAACTACTATGTTAAGGGGGGATTCAGAACAACAAACACTGCTGTACTAATGCTAGGAACAGTCTTAGTCATTTGTCATTTTTAATTTTGCCTCCAGTTACACTATAGGGTCTCATTCACCCCCCAGTGAACTTTATCACCTCTCTGAATAGCGATCCATGGTGGATCAATGTCGGAGATAGCTGAGCGGTATTTCACAAGCATTCAGGAGACAATACTACCCCTACCTGAATGAACATTTGGCACGCAGTTGTGGCACAGTCCCATTGACTCCAATGTTAGACAACTGGCACCACCTGCTAAATGTGACATGTTACATTTGCTACACCATGAATCGAAATATCACGAGCATAAATGTAAATGGGCTTAGGTGGCCAACATGTTAATTTGTAGGTAGGCTGCCACAGATTGGGGGGGCATAAGAACACAGGTCAACTGCCTATTTTTACCACACCTTTGCCACCCATCTGAACTTATCCTAACTGTGATAATAAGCTGCCAGATGGGTATTTACAGCTGTTCATGACCTAAGCAATAAGATCTCTCCCACTCCCATCGCAGTCAGGAGTGTTCCTGCTTGGCTATTTTTAAATTTCTTTGTCAAACTAAGCACACTGTTCACAAAAATGTTGGCACTGTTGGCTTTCTTTTATTGTTTCTGTACAGGTTATTACAGGAGGCTAATTTCAAGACAGATTCTGATACTCATACTTATAGTTCTGTAAATGTAATGTAAAAACACATTAAATGTTTTTTAATTATGACAATACATAACTGTATAAGATGATGTCCTTTAAAAACTATAGAACAATTTTCATTTAGGCCAGAGTTATAAAATATGTTATTGTATAGTACAGTTTCCTGACACTGATGATAGGCATGGTATTTACACCCCCCCCCACTACCAGGCTCCACCATCAGCCTTACTGCAGGACAAATCTCACACTACAGTCCCAGACAGCAGCAAAATTGGGGGTGGACTGCTTTTCCTTATTTTTTTTGCTTTGAAAATGATTTAAATTATATTTTTTTACTATCCACAGGAATAAATCCAGTGAGCCCAGACGATGTTCAAGATCAGCTTTATGGTGAAATGAAGCCTGCAATCGATGGTGCAAACTTCATTATTAAACACATGAGAGAAAGGAATGACTACAGTGAGGTATGTGAGAGCTGAAGCCCATTTCAGTTGATTACAGACAGGGCTGTATTTAGATTAGAGATGGGCTTGATGTTCGAATCGTGGAAGAGTTCGACTTGAACGCGATTCAGGGGGTTCGGCCGGCTGTTCACCCGCCAAGCACCCCACAATTGGCACGGAGACAAGGTGCTTTTCCTAGGGCAACCCTGGAAAAGCACCCTACCAGTGCTGAGGTCATGTGGCCATGTATTGGAGGGATGGGAGGGCTGCTCGCTTGCCCCCCTTACCTGCCCTGCCAGGCCTGTGCTCGGATCAGGGGTCTAGTATGGAATTGTAGGGGCCCCCACGTTCTTTCCCCCCCATTTTTGTGAGTGGTGTTCCTCCTTAAAATTCTTACCAGACCTAAAGGCTCTGGTATGACTTTTGGGGGGAACCCCACAGTTGTTTTTTTAAATGGGAACCCTCCTGACATTCCTTCCAGACCTAAAGGGTCTGGTATTGTTTGGGAGGGGAACCACATGCTTTTTTTTTTCTTCTAAATGTCATTTTGTTCTTTATAAATGTAATTTTTGCTGCAGCAGGTTCTATACATCGTACAGATGAGCCACTTTACAGGCAGTTTAAGGGGACCCCCAGGCACAATATTTAAAGGAATTTTAAATTTTTATTGTTTCGCTTTAAGTTATGTTAAAATCACTGCTCCTTTAAAAACTGTATTTTTTTTCATTGATACATGTCCCCCAGGGCAGTACCCGAATCTTCACCCCCATCTTCAACATTGTGGGTACCTTGCAATGAAAGTGGCCAAGACTACCTGCCCTTGAAATGCACCTTGTCTCAATTTTAAGGGACAAAGGCCTCTTTTCCATATTTGGTCCCCCCAAAAAGGACGTGGGTGACTTGTAGAGGAATCTGGAAGCCCCTTTAAAATAAGGCGGCCCCTAGATATCTGCCTACTCTCAGGGTTCATGGGTACAATAGTACCCTTTACCCATTCCCACAAAGAGTTAAATGTGAATAAAGACATCCACACTGTGAGAAGGTCCTTTAATAGAAATACAGTATAATAAAAAAATTTAAAGAATGTCTCCTGATGTAAATTCATCATCAATCACGTCATCCAGGATCATCAATCATGACGACACGACATCCACTTGTACTTGCTGCACTCACATCAATAAATTTAGATCCCTGGTGCTGAAATAATGTAAACAGAGTGTCGGGAACCCAGAGTGACATTTCGTCAAATACGTCACCTGGGATCCCTGGTGCTGTAGTTACATTTTTACTTGTATTTTTTTTAATTACACAGCTTGTAAATGGCGTTTGAATTGTGTTGGTGTGTTTATTTACTTTAAATCTATTGTCAATCACTGTGTCCAGTGATGTAAATCCTCATCAATCTTAACAACCTTGACCTGACAATGTTTCCCTACTGCACTCCTGTCACTAAATGACAGATCCCCAGGGCTGTGTTTACATTAGCATTGTCGGATGGTAGGTTATTTTGATTGACGCAGTTACGGCCAATAGATTAAGGGTTAGTTCACCCCAGCCATAGTGCGTTCCAGCCCGATTCATGCCGGAACGCACTGAATCGCATTCCTGCCAGCTCACTTTGTTTTGGGGCGGGAGGGGGAGTGCATTGAAGTCAATTGAACCGCAGCCACACCCTCCGGCCGCGATGCAATCACCCGCACCAGAACGCGTGGCACATCAGTGCCTGTGTCTCGGTCCGGTGCAGTCAGAAAAAATAGTGCATGCAGCATTTTTCGATGTAGCATAGGTTCCGGTGCAGGTGATCGCATTGCGGCCGGAGGGAATGGCTGCGGTGCCATTGACTTCAGCGCACCGCCACAAAACAAAGTGAGCCGGCCGGAATGTGATCCAGTGCATTCCGGCACCAATCGGGCTGGAACACACTGTGGCTGGTGTGAACTAGCACTAAAAGCAAATAAATATCCAGTTGGCCAAATCTGATAAGCGAGAATATTTTAATATTCTATTAAAATTGTATTCAAGAATGATGCATCATGTGCTTTAAATGTCCTTTTGTCTGCAACAACTTATTATTTTTATTCTTCAGGAGAAAGATAACTGGTACCGTGTTGCTCGGACAGTTGACCGTTTGTGCCTGTTTATTGTGACCCCCGTCATGCTCATTGGAACACTTTGGATATTTCTTGGAGGAGCCTATAACCAACCTCCAACTTTTCCATTTGCCGGTGACCCTTATGATTACAAGGAAGGACACAAGAGACTGATATAGAGTCTCATATCACATGCAGAGTCCTGGATCATAACACGGTGAATCTGAGAAAGGAATCAGAGTATGGCACAGTAGAAGAATGGGCACACATTCTAGTGGCATTTATTGATGTCTTATTTTTTTCTATCCTTTAAAATGTTTGTAGTGTGTTGTTCGTCTTGAGAAACGTGAGTGTTACATTTTAAAGCTCTTTTATTTATGAACAATTGGTTTATTAAATATCAACAAAGTCTAAATTAAAGGAGTTCCGTTTTGTTTTTCTTAAGGGAAAACCCCAGACAAAAATGCCAAGATAAAGAATTATAGCCTCTTAAAGGAGAACTATGGGGTCAGGGCTTTTCCCCATAGTTCTCCTGAGGGTCGTGGGAGAACGCAAACTAGCGTCATCCCGTGACCCAAAGCTCTGTATACCGCGAGCTGCAGCTCGCGGTATACAGAGACGCCGCAGCCGAAGTGGATCCCGACAATTATGTCTGGATCCACCCAGCTGCGTGACTGACAGCTGGCTCTGCCTATCTAGAGGCAGAACCAGCGGTACCTGCCCCCTCCCCCGTCCATTCCGGCGGAGGATCGTACAGGGGAGGGGGGGAATCCAGTCCCTCCCCTGTCACGGCAGAGATGCGTGACAGGATCGAGAAGTGAGCGAACGCCGGTATGTGTTCGCTCACTTCCCGATCTACTGAGCCGATCTGTGACAGTCTCATTGAAACAGGTCGGCTAGAACTATGAGGTGAGTGAAAATCACTCACCTCATAGTTCTCCTTTAAGAGAAAATAAAAAGCAGTTTTTACTGCAATATTCATCTTCAGTCTGGTGTTCAGCATCATTCAAAAGTCTTCCTTTGAGCCCAAGCTATTATGGACCCACCCCAGCCTGTGACTGGACAGTGAAAGGAGAAGCATAATGTCAGCACATTCATTGATTGGCCTTATTGTGCTGCTTCTTTGCCCCACACTGGAGCCCTGCTTTATAGGTACTACAAGAGGCTGACACCAGTTCAGATTCAGATACTTAAACAATACGTTACTGACGTATTCATGATTACAGAGCTGCATTATATTTATATCTACCTAGAGTTCAGCTTCAGAACAATAAGCAGTGTATAGTTTCATATTATGGCATGTCAGCATTTTAGTGATTGCAGCTGACTAATATACCCAACACATGTAGAATAGGCTAAACACAAAAATAAAATACGTCACATTATTGAAATATATAATGGCGTATAAGAATTGGGCAAGCTTGCTTTTAAAGAATCACATTCCCTTCCCTTGGTTCTACTAAAGTCAGTGTCAGGATTTTAGCAAGCATCCTTACAGTATCCTACCTACGTTGGTTCTGGGGATAATAAAAACATATGTTTCTTATGATTTTTTAAATATCTTTAAACAAGTGTAACATGGAATTCTCTTCTGGGAGATGCAGGTCGTTAATTGAGCTGCTCAGTGACAGCCAGGCCTCTGGGAACACAACACATGAGTGGCAGGGAGATGTTCAGACCAGTGATCTGCAGCCACAGCACAGACTGAAGCAAAACGTTTCCTAGCACACTTACCAGCTAGCTTGCAAGAAAAAAAGAAAAATGACACTGTCTAGCTTTTGGGGTAATAACAGAGGTTGTAGTTGCACAACTTTGTAAAACCTGTGGAAGCCGCACTGCCTCGTCAAGGCGTCTCTGTATAGTGCGGTCCTCACTCTAATCTATGAGAGCCTCCATGTTGGCGCACATATAGCAAAGGATAATTTGGGTGCAGGTTTGCCAGAAGGCAGCCCAACCTTCTTAAAGGCACAGGGACACGCCGGAAGCCATGCACATCACAACGGCAGCTAAAGCCCCAATGTTTTTATTTGTGAGTAGTCATTTTTAGTTACACTATGTGTCATTCCCTCTGCTTATGTTCGACCACTACCATCTTTATGTTATATTGGGAATACATCACACCGAGAAGGAAGACCATCTACTAACCCCGCAAGGAAGGGGAGGCTTTTTGTAGACCAGAATAGAATATTTTAGTTGTGGTCATACACTGAAGGTAAGCAGGACTGTGCAAAGTTGGGGTCATGGTTGACGCACCACGGTTCTGAGGTTTGCCCTAAGTAGCAGTGATTACACATTGGTGTTTCGTTTTGCATGCTCTCAGTGTTGATACTTTCAGAGACTTTTTTCTGGCATTTGGATAGTTTATAAAGATACAGAACTTTCTTGTTAACATTTTATCATTTACATTTAACATATAACATGTTTAGAATTTGATCTGAAGGACTTTCACTATATTGTGCACTTCATTTGTCAACACATTTATTTTATATAAGTATATTAGTCACTTTGCTTTAATTTTAAAGCGCTACACTGTTACATATTTTTATATCAAAATAAGGGGAAAGAGAAAGAAAGGGGCTTTGTGGTGACCACTACAAAATACCAGGGAGTTGATCCAAAAATAAGGTCAATTGATTCATCAATATAATAAAATTTCATTTTTAATACACTCAGTTCATGATGTCAATACATCTATATTTAAAATTCACCCAAATAAAAATGCATAAATAGGTGCATACAACATTAAAAAACCCTCCCTGGATCCCACACAGAACTCATGATTATCAATTCAT